GAGGAGGGGTCCGGAACATGAAATTCCTAGAAGAGTGGATAAAGGAGATGTTGGGGGTATGGCTCTGGATTGGTTGTTGGCATTTGAAAAGCATGCCTTGGGGCAAATTGTTTACCAGCTCTAGGACTGGCCAGCCCTGGGCAAGGCAGTCTGTTGACTTAGTAAGTCTCCAGAGGTGAAAGCTTCAGAATACAGAAAATGCAAGACACGGATCATATAATAAAGAAAGCAAATCCACTCTGACCACATGGCTGCTGCATTGCCGGCTGCTGAAGATCCAGATCAGGTTTCTGAACCCCACTGTGCCCATTCCATGGCCACAAGAAATGAGTGTGCACCTCTGGAATGGCATTCCTCAAAGGCTGTGTTGACCTCAGGCATGCTTCAGCATCCAATGTGCATGTTCCTTCCTCCAGGAAGCCCTCCTGCACCAGTCCCCTGGCCTCAGTGACCTTCTGCTGCCCCACAGCCCATGGTTGCTCTGTCCTGGCATTGACCCTGCTGGGTCATCATCAACTGTTTATATTTCTACTCCTCCCACAGCCTCAACTGCAGATTAGATCCACCTGAGAACTGTAAAAGATCCCACTACTCAACACTGTCCTGCAAGAGGAATCAAATGAGAGCTTCTGGAGGTGGGGCCTTGGGACCAAGGTGATGTGTCACCAGGACAGAGAACAGCCACTCCGGGCCATGAGGTCCTCGGCCACAGGGACTCTGCCTCCTGAGGTCACTGGACACAATGCCTGGCCATGGCAAGTCTGAAACAAGTGAACCACTTCCCAGAATACAGAAGAGGATGAGGACTACATCCTTCATTGTCATCATCAATGATCTGTGAACCAGGGCCCTCAGTGGCACTTAAGGGCAAAATGCAGGCTCTTTCCTTCTGTCTCTCACTCTTCTCTCCTTGCCCACCTTTGGGGAAGTTCAGCTCCCGTGTGGAAAGCACTAACCCACCTGCGTGTGCACGTGGTTCCATCCATTCCATTTTCTCTGGCCTCTTCCATCACCCTTGTGGTAGGCAAATGCATTAATGGATTCAATTCTTCACCTCTCTCTGGATCACCCCATTGCCATGTGCCTTTGCAGCGTTCTCTCCCTCGGGCTCTAGGTTTGGCCAAATGACTTGCTTTGTCTCCTGCCTTGGTGGCAAACGCAACACAGGTGGAGGCTTGAGTGATCGGGCTCTCCTGCTTTTGCTCTTGCTATGGCCATGGGCAGGCCATGCAGATGAACTTGCAGGGGATGATCTCGAGGAGCAGGGCTGAGTCACCCAGCCAGCCAAGGCCAGAGGGGATCGGCTGACAGCCAGTTGAGCATCAGACATTGGAGTGGGTTTAGCCAACATCAACAGCACAGCCTACCCAACCTTGGTCTTAGGAGCCAGCCCAGCCAAGATCAGCCAAGCCCAGCCTAGAGCCCCTCAACCTCAGGATCCTGTGAGCTAACTGGATGTTTTTTGCCTATGCCATTTAGGCTATGTGGTTATTCATTTCCCAGCTTTATTGTACCAGTAGAAAATTAATGCAATTGCTTCCCCCTCCCCCATGTCTTTAAATTCCCATTGCCTTGATCTCATGGTCCTTAGCCTAAAATGCACTCAGCTCTTTCCCCTGCCTTGTTCTAAGATGCTCTATCTTCTTTCACTATGTTTTACCTCAATGCATGGTCTCTCTCTGTTTTTGTAGCTGGCTCAGAGACCTCAAATCTCAGAGCAGAATTAAAATGTCCATTCTAAGACATAAAACCCTGAAAGAAAGAAACTAGGCAGACACTGGGGAGCAGAGAAGCTTGTGGGATATGCTTGGATTTTGTGTAAAATTAGCAGATCTTGGAAATCATTAATAAAATACAAATGCATTTGTTTAATTATGTTTATATTTCATTTGAAACCCAACTAACTAACTTGTTCTCTGAGAAAGCATTTAATGCAACCAGTGATGGGACTCTTGAAACGGCAATACACAGTTACTGGCTTGTACAAGGTTTTGTCATATAGTTTACAAAAGGTGCCAGTAGATGCCAGCACAAATGGGGTGCCCTTATGACCCACTTAGGAACACGTACTGTCCTTCTTGCCTTATGGCTAGGTCATGTTTCATAGTAAAGTTCTGGAAGGCATGAAGTTCATTTTAAATGTTAAAACCCTACAAAACGAATGGCTGTTGTATTCTTCAAACAACCATTTTGCTCTTGTTTCCGCAGTTCTGCCCCACTGTCTTTACCACCTGTCCATTCAGGCACACCTTCCTCTGTCTGGCCTTGTCACGCCCTCAGGATCCCACTGTCATGGCGTTGCCTTCAAGACAACCCCTGCACACCCCTTTCCCTCTCCCCTCTGCCCCCGACCTCTCATGAGCTTCCCCACACTCTCCCCAACACCATGCAACCCATCAGGGTTAGGACCCTGTTTCCCTTCTTCATAATTCCCAGAATCTGGCACACAGCAGGTGCTCAAGAGATGTTTACTGAGTAAAAGACAAAAGCAAGAATGGCCATCTTCAGGCTCTGCTCAAAAAGCCGATCAGCTTCTCCCCTTCGAAGAGCAGGTAAATGAGGGCCATGGGCATAGAATCCTCTCTCTTCTCTCCCCAGAAAGGAGACTTCTCTTTTTCTAAGAAAAATTCCCTGCTCCTAAATTTCTTTTCTGTACCACCTGCAAAGCCACTCATTGGGTGTTGGAGTGGGGGAAAGGTTATCAACCATTCACCTCTTAGTATAAAATATCATATTCAACGTTCTGTTCCGCCATCTAGCAGAGACTTTTTGATGAAATGGGAGGCTGGAGAGGAAGAAGATTGGATGCAGGGGCACTTGGGGAGTGTGTGGAGTGCTGCATAGCCAGAAGGGCTGGGACACTGTGAAGGTCAAGCAGGGGGTGGCAAAGGATGAGGAGCTCAACGGAGCAGAAGAGAATCAAGAAAGAATGTGGGAAAGGCTGGGGGGAGCTGAGAATGGGTGCAGAAAGGAAGGTGGGATGGGTTGGATGGAAATCAGGAAAGAGAAAACTCAGGGGAGTCTGCCTGTATCTTCTGTGCAGTAGTTTCAGGGGAGCTGTGGCCAGCGGCAGTGAGGATGGAGCCAGAACTATGAAGCCAGACAGTCCTGGATTACCGCCCACCTCTCTGCCTCACTTTTCCTCATCAGTGCAAAGGCTGGCTTATTGCTATTCATGTTTCTGCCTGAATTTTGCTTCTGGGCTGCTATGCAGGTCCTGGAAGTCTTCCCCTAGCACTCTCTTAATCAGTAGGACAGAGCCTTGAGGATGCTCCCAGGAACCCAGCCTTCCAGACCCCTGCTTTCCAGGCTGCCATGAAGAACCAGCCTCTGTGTCTTCTTACCTCCTCTTCACCTTGCTTCTGTGATCTGACCTTGCCTGGCCCTGAGCAGAGACAGGGACAGGAAGAGGGCAAGTTCCCTACCCCTTCCTGAGCACTTGCTTACTGTGATGGGTGGCTGAGCTTCGAGTCTCACCCGAGACGAGACTCTCACCACCCTGCACGGTGGGTCGATTACTTCTGCGTCACTGCTGGGAAGGCTGAGACATGGAGGCACAGCCACTTGCTCAAGGACACTCAGCTGGCTGGGAGCTCAGCTGAGCAGCACATCTGAAGATCCTGACTTTTCGATACCAACTGAAGACCTTGCTTTTGCTTCCTCTCCTGCCTTGATTTGGATCCTCTTCTCTGTCCGTGCCCCAGACATCTTTGCTGCTGACATTCCATTCAGGAGCGCAGTGAGTTCAACCTCGCTGCCCGAAAACCACTTAGTGCGGTTCCAGCATCTGATGCAGAGATGCAAATGGTTCCATTCACCACTCCTGTACATGAGGATGCACACTATCAGGCTGGGATGCCCCAAGCTATGCTGCTGGCACATGGAAGGTTCGAGAGGAGCTTTGAGATAGAACCATGACCTCAGCCTGCAGGGGTGGGGAGGGAGAGTGGGAGAGCTACGTAGAAAACTTGACACTTCATCCTTGAAGGTCTCAACACAGATGAGAATCCCTACTTGAGAAGAATCCCCACCTGCTCCCTCCAGTCAACCCCATGTTAGGCCCTGAGAGATGGGCCCCTGAAGCAGTGCCAGTGAATTTAGTTTTCAAGGCTGTAAGGCCGCTGTTGGCATCAGCCGCAATTGATTGTCAAGGCCACTGAGTGTTCTTGGGCTGAGCCCTAGGCTCATGGTTCTTAAATTTTGTTGGGCATTCCATCCCCAGAATTCTGATCCAGAATATAGGGGCCCAGGCTTGCTGAAGCAGGACCAGGCCTGACCTCTGATTTTTACCAGGTCCCCCAGGTAATTCTGATGAGGCCAGAGTTAGAGAGCCACTAACTTGGTGCCTTGCTACTCAAAGTGTGGTCCATGGACCAGCAACATCAGCCACCTGGGAGCTTTGCAGACTCTGAACTTTGCAGAGTCTGGTCCCACCTCAGACCTACTAAATCAGTTTGAGAAGATGCCTAGAAGATCCATGTGCATATAGAGGAAATTTTGAGAAGCCTGACATAGCCGACAGATGAGTAAATGCTTAGCGGCTTATCAAGTATTAAGCTCTGCTTGCTAGGCATACACTCTCATTTCATCCCCATGACCACCCTGCAAGGGAGATGCCTTTTCCCCATTTTACAGAAAATTACATCGAGACTCAGAGAGGTGGGAGACTCCTGAACCCACCCGTTCATAGGTGAGGGAGCTGGGGTTAGACCCCAGGGACCCCATGCTCGTCCTCACTGCGGCCCTGTCCTCCTCACACAGGGATAGAACAGCAATGACTTCAGATGTGAACACTTTAAGTAACTTTGATTCAACTTACCACAGCAGGACATGGATCAGAAATTTACACAGATGTCCTTTCACCAGGATTGAAACAAGAGAAGGTTTCTAGCCAACCCTAATCTCCAACTCAGCAAGACCCAACCCCCACCCCCTCCCCATTTCCCAGTATCTCAAACTTTCCACCGAGAGTCCCTGTAAAGGATTCGTAGCGGGCTTACCGTGTTCATCCAGCAGGATGTTGTCTGGCTTGATATCTCTGTAAAAGAAAACAAAGAAGCTGGTAATGTGGTTCCTGGACTCACAGACGAGCACATCGACAAGTACCACATCAGGACAAATGCTGGCAACACCCAGGCTGCTCATCTGTCCCTGACCTGAGGCCTCAGCCAGGGAGCAGTAGAGTAATTGGTATGATAATGGGACACCTGTGTTCTTACCTCCTCTTCTCTTTCCTGGAAGTGAAAGTAGATTGTTTGAATATTTTTTCCTGAATATTCTTAGCTTTTTGGTTGTTTGTTTTTGAGACAGAGTCTTGCACTGTCGCCCAGGCTGAAATGCAATGGCATGATCTCGGCTCACTGCAACCTCCACCTCCCGGGTTCAAGCGATTCTCCTGCCTCAGCCTCCCGAGTAGATGGGATTACAGGTGCCCACCACCACACTTGGATAATTTTTTGTATTTTTAGTAGAGATGGGGTTTCACCATGTTGGCCAGGCTGGTCTTGAACTCCTGACCTCATGATCCGCCGACATCAGCCTCCCAAAGTGCAGGGATTACAAGCATGAGCCACAGGACCTGGCCAATATTCTTAGTTTTTAGCCTCTCAGCTCCAGTTGTAATGGTAACAGCAGCGACTGCTCACTGAGCATGTGGTCAGCGCCAGCAGTGGGAGGCACCTGCCCACCCTAAGGTAGCTGAGCCATCCCACCACGGCTCCCTGCAGGTGTCATGGCATCCATGGAGCTAAATGAGGGTTTGTAAGTTGTGGCAGTCAGACATGTGAAAACTATAGCTCTAGGCCAAATCCAGTCCTGGGCCAGTCTTTGTATGGCCTGGGAACTAAGAACCACTTTAACATCTTTAAAGCACTGTAGAAACAAATCAACAGGCACACACCCACACCCACACAGAGGAACATGCAGCAGAGACTAACATGGCCCTCAAAGCCTAAAGTGTTTATTACCTGGCCCTTTATGGAGAAAGTATGCTGACCTCTTTTAAGGGTAACATAGTGACCCATGTGGGGCAAAATCTGGGCTGAGGAGTTTCTGGAAAGTTCTGCTCTACATCACCATGATAGCAAAGGGCCTCTCAATTCCAAGTGAAAGATTTTGAAGGCTGAGGCTTTGCTTTCTTTGCATCTACATGCCTGTACCCAGCACAGTGCCCGACGCAGTGGTAGACACATGTGAAACACCACTGAGTATAAGAATGAACGAATGAAAGGGAGAGAAGAACAGCTTCAACCTCAACTTACTTATTTTTTTTTTATTTTTTTCCCATTTATTTATTTTATTGCATTTTAGGTTTTGGGGTACATGTGAAGAACATGCAGAATTGTTGCATAGGAACACATGTGGCAGTGTGATTTGCTGCCTTCCTTCCCATCACCTACATCTGGCATTTCTCCCCTTGCTATCTCTCCCCAGATTCCCACCCCCCACCCTCCCTCCCCTATTTCCCCCCAACTGACCCCAGTGTGTAGTGCTCCCCTCCCTGTGTCCATGTGTTCTCATTGTTCAACACCCGCCTATGAGTGAGAACATGCGGTGTTTGATCTTCTGCTCTCCTGTCAGTTTGCTGAGAATGATGGTTTCCAGGTTCATCCATGTCCCTACAAAGGACCCTAACTCATCGTTTTTGATGGCTGCATAATATTCCATGGTGTATATGTGCCACATTTTCCCTATCCAGTCTATCGTCGATGGCCATTTGGGTTGGTTCCAGGTCTTTGCTATTGTAAACAGTGCTGCAATGAACATTCGTGTGCACGTGTCCTTATAGTAGAATGGTTTGTAATCCTTTGGATATATACCCAGTAATGGGATTGCTGGGTCAAATGGAATTAACTCCAGATGGATTAAAGACTTAAACATAAGACCTAACACCATAAAAACCCTAGAAGAAAATCTAGGTAAAACCATTCAGGACGTAGGTGTAGGCAAGGACTTCATGACCAAAACACCAAAAGCATTGACAACAAAAGCCAAAATAGACAAATGGGACCTAATCAAACTCCACAGCTTCTGCACAGCAAAAGAAACAATCATTAGAGTGAATCGGCAACCAACAGAATGGGAAAAAATTTTTGCAGTTTACCCATCTGACAAAGGGCTGATATCCAGAATTTACAAAGAACTAAAACAGATTTACAAGAAAAAAACTAACAAGCCCATTCAAAAGTGGGCAAAGGATATGAACAGACACTTTACAAAAGAAGACATACGTGAGGCCAACAAACATATGAAAAAATGCTCCTCATCACTGGTCATCAGAGAAATGTAAATCAAAACTACATTGAGATACCATCTCACGCCAGTTAGAATGGCGATCATTAAAAAATCTGGAGACAACAGATGCTGGAGAGGATGTGGAGAAATAGGAACACTTTTACACTGTTGGTGGGAGTGTAAATTAGTTCAACCATTGTGGAAGAGTGTGGAGATTCCTCAAGGACCTAGAAATAGAAATTCCATTTGACTCAACTTACTTATTACTGACGTGTACACACTTGCTGAGCGCTGCATTAAAACCACAGATTTTACAAATGCATAAATTTTCACTCATTTATAACAAATGTCACATCTACTGAGACTAATGATAGCTTTCTTCAAAATAAAGAGCAACTGCTCCTGAGTTTATCAAATATGAATTCTACCTGAAAACACGCTGTGGTTCTGTGTAGTAATGCAATGCAATGTCCATGGGTTTGGGGATGAAAGAAGCACTCAACCTACATATTTAAATTTTTATTTTCATTGTGCCTCTGCAAGCCTGTGAGTACTGAGAAGCACTGAGTACATGGGCCCCTGCTGCTGAGGTCACAAAGCCTCCACTGTGAACTAAGAGATTACTGCAGAGACCCGTAGGGAGCCTCATGGGAGGGATGAACTTGGGAACTTATACAATTAAAACAAAAGGCAGAAGACCTAGAGTCAAGTGTTTGTGGATCTAGTCAGCAAATGCTTGGACCCTGCCCAGGTGGCTCCCAGCAGGGTTTCTCAACAAAAGTTGATAAAAAAGAAAATAAAATAACCGTCAAGAATGAAAACATAGCAGCAAATGTTCAGGCTTATCTCTTCAAGTATCACCAGGACTGAGATGATTTCATGTGGGGTGTGGGGACCAGGGAGGAGGTGGCTGTGGCCCAGGGAGTGGGGGCTATAAAATGCCTACAAGGGCCGTAGCCTAAAGATAGAGTTAGAGTCAGGACACAGGTGAGGTGAGGGCGGGATGACAGACCCAAGAAGATGTGATCTGGCGTACTGGGTTGAATGGTGTCCCTCCAAAATTCATGTCCATCCAGAACCTCAGAATGGGACCCTATGTGGCAATGGAGTCTTCGCAGGGGTAATTACTTAAGGATCTCAAGATAAATCATCCTGGATTTAGGGAGGGCTCTAAAGACTTGTGTCTTTATAGGAGGAAAGTGCGGGGAGGGATTTGGATACAGACACAGGAGAGAAGAAGGCCGTGGGGAGATGGAGGCAGAGGCTGGAGCGATGCAGACATAAACCAGGGATGCCTGGAGCCGCCCAGAGCTGGAACACGCAGGGGGTGAATTCTCTCTCGGGTCACCAGAGGAAGCATAGCTATGATTCCACTTTGATGTGGACTTCTAGCTGAAATTATGAGAGAATAAATTTGTATTGTTTTAAGCCACCAATTTTGCAGTAATTTGCTGTGGCAGTCCCAGGAAGCTGACACAACTGGCATGAGGGAAGGAGAGCTGATGGAGGGGAGGGCAAACCTCAAGGGGCAGCTAGGGCCCCAATAACCACAGCATGGCCTTGGATGAGCCCAGCGCCTGGCCACCCCCACAGCTACATTGCACCTGCTCACAGTGTCTCATATCCTGAGAACAGAATGGGGCACAGATGTGCCTAGACTCCACAGATCCAAGGAAAGGGGCTGTCCTGTTTGGGAGAGTCCAGACCATGATCTAGACAGTTTGGGTTCCAACTCCAGCCTCGCCTTTGACTATCTGCATGATTCCTGTCTCTGCCTGAGTTTCCTATGCTGTGTGGATTAAATATCTGATACATAACACATGTTGCTTCTGTACTGGCTGTTAGCACAGAGTGGAATATCAAGCATTTACGGGGTTTCCCCTTTGTGGCTGTGAAAGCATGTCATGAACAAGACAGACCCAGCCAAATGGAGCTTGCATTCTAGGAGGAGAGGCAGGCCAGAAGGCACATGAATAAATCGCAGGATTGTTCACTGTAGCAGGTAAAGAAGGCAAACCAGAGTCTAGAAAAGAGACCAATAGAGGGTCCCTAGTTTTGGCAGATGGTCAGGAAGACCTTTAAGAAGCGGAGACTTTGGGTTGACATCTGAATGGCAAGAAAAAGCCATCTGTGCACCATCTAGGGAGCAAGTTCTCATTTTGCAGATGAGGAAGGAGGAGGGTGAGAACCACATCATCTGGCCTGTGATGTGGTTCTAGACATGGAAGCTGACAAAGGTGATGGGTGTCACCCCCTTAATTCTGTTATGTCACAGGGCAAAGTCGGTGGGATGGCATTCCCGGGATGACATTATATTATATGACTCTGTCTTGGCAGACTGGAGTGAGAGCTCAAGATATGAGCTGCCATGTGAGAGCCAGTCACACAGCAGGGAATCTAAGTGTCCTTGGGAGGAAGAGTGATCACTGGCCAATGGGTAGCAAGAAAACGTGACCTCAGTCCTGCGGCGACAAGAGCTGAAATCTGCCAACAACCACAAGAGCCTGGGAGAGGATGCCACCCCATGTTCCAGAAAGGAATGCAGCCAGGTGGGCATGTGGATCGTAGTTTTGTGAAATCCTCCGCAGACAATCCAGTTAAACCCACCTGGACTCCTGGGCCACGGAAATGGAGGGAGAATAAATGGGAGTTATTTCAAGTTGTAAAGTTAGTGGTAATTAGTTGCACAGTAATAGAAAACTAATACTCTAGCTATATAATCTGAGGCCACCTACTCTGAGCCTCGTTTTCCTCATCTGGGAAATGGGAACAGCAGCGGCTATCTCACTGTTGCTGAGTGTACAA